CGATCCAAAGCTGGTACCTTCTGCCCCAAACAAATCCTAAATCTCAACACCTCTGCACCCATTTCCCCCTTACCCCCAACTTACCGTAGTGCTCTCAAGGATCCAAACTGGCATGCTGCTATGTGTGATGAATATAATGCTTTGATCAAGAATGACACATGGGAATTAGTACCCCCCTCCCCCACACAAAATATCATCACCGGTAAATGGCTCTTCAGACACAAACTTGGCCCTTCAGGTGAGTTAACCAGGTATAAGGCCCGATGGGTTGTTCGTGGCTTTAATCAGCGTTTTGGCGTCGACTACGGTGAAACGTTCAGCCCCGCTTATCAAGCCTGCCACTGTCCGCATCGTCCTTAGTCTTGCTCTGTCTCGCGGTTGGCCCATTCATCAGCTAGATGTCAAAAATGCATTCCTCCATGGCCAGCTTCAGGAAACCGTGTATGCCAGTCAGCCGTCTAGGTTCCAGGATGCCAAACGCCCTCATCATGTCTGTAAGCTCAAAAAGGCCTTGTACGGCCTCAAGCAGGCACCTCGCTCATGGTATCACAGGTTTGCAGGTTTCATTCAGACTATTGGGTTCCAAGGGTGCAAGTCTAACACGTCCCTCTTCACTTTCTCTCATGCCGCGGGCACGGCCTATCTCTTACTCTATGTCGACGACATCGTTCTCACTGCCTCTTCACCTGCACTCCTTCAGAGCATCATTCGAAAACTCAAGGCTGAGTTTGCTATGACAGACATGGGCGACTTACATTTCTTCCTCGGCATCAATGTCCATCGCACCTCCACTGGGATGTCCTCCATCAGACTCAGTTTACCCATGACATCCTCGAGCGGGCTGGGATGGTCTCCTGTCGTCCCATCTCTACACCAGTGGACACAAAGGCAAAACTATCCTCCTCAGCTGGGACGGCCCTTCCTGATCCGACGTTGTACAGGTCTATTGTTGGAGCTCTGCAGTATCTCACTTTTACTCGACCTGACATCACTTATGCCGTCCAGCAGCTTTTCCTTCACCTCCATGCACCTAGGGACGTGCATCTCACGGCCATGAAGCGGATCCTCCGCTACCTGCAGGGCACGGCCACCCATGGCATTCATCTAACGTCATCCACTACAGACTCTTTGCAGGCCTACTCTGATGCAGACTGGGCTGGATGTCCTGACACTAGACGCTCCACCTCTGGTTATTGTGTCTTTCTAGGCGATAACTTGGTCTCCTGGTCATCCAAGCGCCAGGCCACTACCTCCCGATCCAGTGCCGAGGCCGAGTACCGGGCTGTGGCGAATGCCGTAGCTGAGACTTCGTGGATCCGCAACCTTCTCCTTGAGCTACGACAGCCACTCAGACGTGCCACCCTTGTTTTCTGTGACAATATCAGTGCTGTCTACCTATCATCAAATCTGGTACAGCACCAGCGGACCAAACATGTGGAGGTTGACATACATTTTGTTCGGGACAAAGTAGCACTTGGGCAGGTTCGTGTTCTTCATGTGCCCTCTTCTTCCCAGTATGCTGACATCTTCACCAAAGGCCTACCGTCCCTGCTCTTCCTCGAGTTCAAATCCAGCCTAGGCGTCCGACCTCCTCCACATCCGACGTAGCCGGGAGCATGCTAAATATATTAATTATATTTAATTATAGTATTACCATACTTGTATAGGTTTCCTAATGTGGCTCTCCTACTATGATTAGGATTGAAGCCTCTAGTATATATTGTTGTATTCTCTACACAATTATTCAACGAAAATATTCTTTCTACAGTTCCATGCCCAAGGAGGATTTATAACCCACAAGAGTAATGATACATGCACAACATGAAGCAAAATAAGACTAGTGCTTGCAACATGATACAACACCTGAATTTCGCAGATTTATTATTGTTCATTTTCGGTAGTCGTCGAGAAAATCATACCGATCAGACTGATACACATACACAAACTCCACTCGTAGATGTGGATACTTTCTCATCATTTCAACCGCCGATGAGGTTCGCTCAGCTAAATCCTCGCAGTGATACTTCCTCAACATTTTATTCCTTGATGAGTTGGTAGTGGCATTATAGTCCATGGGACCCCATAAATGTTTGTATTTTTCAATAATCATACGGATGATCAACTTCCTAACATTTGGGCAACGTCTCAAAACCTTCTCTGCCCATTCCCAGAAGCCGTCAAGAGCTTCACATCCAATCTCCAAGACCCCCACATTCTCCAAAGAAGAGAAGCCTTCAGTATCATACCCAAAGTCACAAAGTGCATAGTCACAGTTTAAAGCAAGATGGGTGAGTTGTGGCGAGCAAACAGCCATTCGTTCTAAACCCACAACTAGCCTTGACCCGTCAAAAACAGTTTCACATCTTTTTCAAATGACATTGATGGGTTGCTGTCAAGATCCCAAACCCGAAAAGACTTCAACTTTGGTGCTTGTATCTTCATTGGGAACAAATTTGACTGAGAAACACGACTGTCAATGATTTCTAAAATGTCTAGATTGTCCCCCTCTTCGATTTCAAGAAGTCGGGCCACTGAAAATGAGAATCTGAAGCGTCTCAAACTTATACTGTCACTGACCCTAAAAGAATCAAAATCACATTCTATCACATGCAGATACCCAATGTCACACTTCTCCAAACGAAACTCAAATCCTTTGATATCCTCAATTAATAGAGTCTTTAATGTAAGAAAGCATAATTTCACTGTCAATTCATGCAAACCAACCTCATCCGGATCTTGTAGGAAGAGTGTATTGAGCTCTAAACGCTCGAGTTTGGGAACACACAAAAGAAGTTTGTTTAGATCCTCGATCAAAATAGTGACACAAAATAGACAAAGTGATGTGAGAGAGGGGAATCTTTGGAAACTTGGTTCAACCCCTCTTATCGTGTAATACCCTAAAGTCAAGGTTTCCAATTTCCGGCGCCCACATATATCAAGAACATTCACACTGGGAGAAGTTCTGACCCTATAAAACAACTCAGACAAATTATCTCTGGCTGACATTAACCAACCCACAACTGAACCAGCCGAAAACTCGTGCTTGTCATCTATTTGAATGCATAATTTTCGCAAAGCGGGTGTTTGAAAAATGGTCGTCGTGATCAACACTTCCAAGTCACAAGTAGGAAGCTCGTGGTAGACACGATCATCAAAATCATTGAATGAAAGAGTATGAAGGTGTTTGACATAGGCCTCTCGCCACCTACGACAAGTTACAGAAGCTCTGATCATATCTCGTGCAATTCGTACACGAGACAGTATATCCCCAATAACCTCAAGAGGAAGTTTCTCCGCAGGGCCTTCCATACTCCTTTTACCGTCCCTCTCCATCTTCATTCCATTATTTGAATAGATAAACAAAACAGCCAGTAAGTATATCATTAAACGAGAAGCTAAATTGCAGGTATGGATGTAGATCACACAATTAAGATTCCAATTACTTAAATTAGGGTTTCAAAGCTTCAAATTACCGAGAAATCACAATTTAGCAAAGGAAAAAACAATGATTGAATTCCCAGGTAAGGATAAAGATCAAACAAACACAATTTCGATTACAAGTACTAGCATTAAACTAGGGTTTTAAAGGTTCGAATTCCCATCAAAGGGGAAGCAAATAAACGAGTGGAAATACACCAGTATGAAACACTTACCTTTCATCTTCCAACTAACACACACTAATTTGGAACTTTGAATTTAAATATTCTGGCCCGGGTACTCCCTCAAGTTTCTCCATCATTCTCTATTCATTCTACTACTTGTTTAATTACTTTTTTCCACACATCATCTATCTATTTGTCGTGATTATTGATTAATAATCGTCTTGCATTTCAGGGCTTGTTCTTTTCACATATGAACCATTCTGATAAATCCTATGGGATATGAATGTAGTTATATATGGAGTATAAATTTAGTTCTGATCTGGTCGGAACTGAACCAATTTATTTTTTCATCTTTGTAAGTTATCTTTAGCATAAGATTATTAGAAAATGAAATAAAATATAACATTGGCATCAAAGATCTAAAAATGATATAACATATTATATTTTTTAATAAGAATTCTACTATATAAATTTAGAAATGAATATGTCAAAAACTAATTTAAATCTAAATTTTGAAAGAAAAAACATTCAGGGTTTAAAAAAATTTAGTTGAATTTGCAAGGGCTACTAGTGTCATCTCAAACTAATATGTTTAATCATGTAAATGCTTTCACTCATGAAAAAATGTAAAGTTAATTGCGAATGAAAATTGACTTGGTAAAATATAATCCAACAAAGGACAATAGTACCAAATTCATTCTTTGATAATGTTTTTTGGATACGATTCTATTGACACTGGCCAACGGTGCCACTAGCGGTGCCACTGCATCTTTGGAACACTTCTGATGCTTTGTTTGCAAAATTGATGGTTTCTAAGAGAGCTTGTTATAAGGTCCGAGGTTAGCGTTAGCATTTTGAAAATGTTGCATGACGGTAGTCTTTTGCATTAGCATTTTTAGAATTTATCTACATCACTAAATTTTTATCTAAAATGATAACACTAATAAAAAATATTTTTTCCCGAACATTAGTTTCACTTTTTTTTTATTCATTTACAATACTTCACTTTCTTTTGAACTAAAAGAGCTTGTTATAATTAGAAAATCTATTTTCATTCTCATAACTGTTAACTACACATTTTTTATTTTTTTAAATTGGGTAGAAATAATGAAGGGATAAAGGTCTTGTTTGGAAATTAATATTTTCGACTAGTATTATTGCTTTAGATAAAAATTTAGTGGTGTAGATTAATCTAAAAACGCTAATTCAAAAGGCTAACGTCAGATAACATTTTCATTTCAAAATAATAACGCTAACCTCAGACACTGATGTCAAACGGAGCTAATATAGGGTATTACGAATATTTTTTAGGGAGGATAATATGGAGTATGATTCAAAATGAGAGCCTAAGTTACAAAAAGGAATGAGGAAAATTAGAAATCATGAAAAACAAAAAATCACAATTCAACCACATAAAACAAAATTTGACGGTTATTTCTTACAAACAAATCTCATGTGAAGCTCGTAGGATGGATGCAATGAGTTCCAAACACTCGAGTTTGGGAAATGCCAGAACTAGTCTATTTAGATCCTCCGCTGAAACACATACACGATTCAGAGAAAGTGATGTCAAACAAGGGAATCTTTGGAATTTCGGCTCACCTTCTCTTATTGGGCATTTACATAAACCCAAAGTTTTTAGCTTTGGCCATCCACATATATCAAAACACCTTTTACTGCCTATTCGAGCACGAATGAAATTTTGCTACCACAAGACCAATTTCTTTATATCCTCTCCATCTGCATTCCATAAATTCAAAACATGTTGGGAATCACTGGCATGGGATATATGTATGGATCAGGCAAACACAATTTGGATTTGGAGTATTAAACTAGGGTTTTAAAGCTTCGAATTTCCAACAAATCAAAAGCAAAGGGAGAAAGAACAAAGTAGGACTAAAACTTTGAAAATATACTAAAATATGACTTCCATGTTTTTATTCCCGAAATAGGACTTACATTACGAATCATGGTCATATACATTACTGTAGAAATTGATAAGAGAGAAAGTATTCTGTATATTGAATTGGCTTGTGCTTACAAAGGTCTAACCCCCTTTATATAGGAAGAGAGTAAAGCATTTAAGTAACTTTTATTCCTACCATATTTCTATTCCTACTATAACAAGAACTAAGCAAACTAGGAAAGATATTAAACCGAATCCCAAAGGGATTCAGTTTCCCTCTTTGATCTGGCTTCCTTCTTCTGTTGCCAACACCCCCCCTCAAGCTGGAGCATGGGAGTTCAACATGCCTAGCTTGGACATCAAAAGATTGAACAAAGCAACAAAGCTTGAGGAAGCCGCTGCCATCGTTGTCCAAGTGTCATCTAGACACTTCAGTTTTTTTCTTCAACGGAGACGCCAAGCTTTTCGAATCCGCCGAATAATTAGTCGAGTAAAGGAACGTCATTCTTTTCGAACCTTCACCGTATTCGAACAAACAGGGGGAACGCCATTCTTTTCGAACACCCTGAACGCCGACTTTTTTTATTGCCTGCTAAGGAAAGAGTTGTCTGTCTCTGTAAAACAACCTTTCTCAGACAACTTCTTCAAGATTGATGGTTGGGCGGGATTCCTCGACAGCAATGTTTTTCGTTGAAAGAGTTCATGATATTCTTTAGTGAGGGAGAACAATCAAAGAAAATCAAAAATTACAATATCCCGCGCGGTAGGCATTGAATTTTGTATGCCCATCGGCAGGGGAAGAAGCGTGTTTGAGGTCTCAAGAATTCAAAACTTGCTCTGATACCATGTAGAAATTGATAAGAGAGAAAATATTCTGTATATTGAACTGGCTTGTGCTTACAAAGGTCTAACCCCCTTTATATAGGAAGAGAGTAAAGCATTTAAGTAACTTTTATTCCTACCATATTTCTATTCCTACTATAACAAGAACTAAGCAAACTAGGAAAGATACTAAACCGAATCACAAAGGAATTCAGTTTCCTTCTTTAATCTGGCTTCCTTTTTCTGTCGCCAACAATTACCAAAAAGCATAGAAATTTGCACATGTACACTACCACATTACCACAATGCAAGGTTACATTACCACAGTGCAAAGTCCTATTCCGAAAAAAAAGAACTTCGATCCAAAGCAAACAAGTTTTGAATTCAAATTTCTTGTGTTTCTTTCTCGGTGTTTTACTTTTCTCTCTTGAAGGTAGAGTGTGTGACTCTGTTGATGGCCAAAAAAAATACGGAGTAATTCATAAGGTAACAAATTTTCCAAACTTTAATTAAAGAAAAAGTACAATTTGTGCTAAAAAAAATACTCCTTTCGATCCTAATTTTTTTCTTATGATTCTTTTATCAAATACTGACATACTTTAATCACAAATTATGAAAAAAATACTCCCTCCGTCCCCCAGTATTTGTCCACTTTCATTTTTACACAACATCTAATATACTTCTTTAATCCATTTTATCTTGTAATTTGTACATTAAAAAATTATAGAAATTATATATTAATAATCTATATGTTAAGACAAATCAAACAAGATCACACATGACTATATTTAGGCTTACACATTGAGACAATTTGATGAGTCAAAGTGCTTAGATGAACAGTTCCAAAAGTCAAAAGTGGACAAAAACTGGGGGACGGAGGGAGTATTTAATTATAATATAAATTTAATATAATTGAGCACGTTTTAAGATATAGTTTTAATATATCAAATTTTTATACTATCATTTTTTTAATCATGTTAATTTGTAATAAAAAAGTTTTATTGTCTGACAAAAAAATCAAAATATGAAAGATTTTTAGTACACAAGAAGTAAAAAATGCAAAGAGCATGCTTTTTCGTGTAGGTTTTCCAAACATTTGGCATGACAGTCCGTTTCGTATGACTTACTAGTATTTTAACACGTATCATACACGGATGAAACGAATATTTTTTTATTCTGTAAAAGTTTTTTCTTCATAGTTGATGGTAAAAGAATTGAGCAAAATACATTATCAAACAATAGATATAACATAAGCATTTGCTAACCAAAATTTATCAGTATATAAATCGAAAAGAACATACAATATAATCTAAATTTAAATCTTTTAAAGGATTGTCGTTGTATCTAAAACTAATATTTTTAGTCATACAATATAGTCTGAACACCAAAACCCGAACTTATGGTATGTGAGTCTTTAAATAGATCGAAAATTCAAAATAAATGAAAATTAGACAAATTCCAATATGATGAATATCCATTTTCACACCTCATTTCTACAAATTCTCAATCTCAATTCGACCCAGGCACGCAGCCATGCGTAACCCTATACGTCCGCCATTGCCATCGCCATAGCCAATTCTTCTATAGTTCTATACTTCTATGACTTCTGTCCCTCTCCCAAATCCATTTCTTCAATCCGTCTGCGGTTATCCATAGCCAATTGGCCCATAACGGCTAACCCTATCTGTCGGCCATCGCCAATTCGCCATCTTGATTTGCGCATCGCTCCTTGGCGTGAGCCAGGTTATCTTCTATTCTTCTCTGTTTATCTTCCATTCTTCAATGAATCCTCCGATTCCTTTATCTTCCATTCTTGCATTAGATCAAGCTTTTGTTTATCAATCTTGAATTCTTTAATCAGTACAGAGTACCAGAGTAATGTGATTTTTCGGGTAAAAGTGGAAAATGAAACCTTTTTGAGATTAACGAAAAAGAACATGTTGAACACTTTTATGGAACGGATAGATTACTATTCAGTTTTATTAAATGATCAATAAAAATACAATATGAAAAAAATGATCCATGAAAATATATATGGAAAAAATGTAATTTAATCATATACGTAGTAAATAGTAATGCAAATTATTTTGTGAGTAAAGAATAAATTTCAAATTTATACTTTTTATTTATAAATTATAAACTACTATATGTCAAGTAAATGCAATTTTAAGTGTTACAAAGTGCACCTTTTGTCCCTAAAACATTGGTCTGGTTACTATTACAGGGTTCCGATGTCTTTTGCTTGCGTATGTGTTTTTAGTGATCATTTTATAAAATAAAATAGACATGTGAGCACTTGTTTTGTGGCATTTTTTGTGTAATTTTTAAATATGTAAGTTGTACTTTTGATTTCTTTATCAATGTATGAATAAAGTAATTTTGAAAGATATTTAACACATTATTCCTAGGGAGTATTCCTTGGTCCCTACTCAGTAGTTAATTTTCACATTCGTAGGTTGCTCACAGACACACAGTGTACCTTCAAGAGAGAAGTAAAATACGGAGAAAAACAATAGAAATTTAAATTCAGAAAATTGTTTTTGTTGGTCCAAAGGTGATAGGTAATCGAACATCTCTGGTGTATTTCCATTTGTGACTTGTTTATTTACTTCTGTTTTGTTGGGGATTCGAAGACTTGAAACCCTAGTTTTATACTCTTAATCGAACTTATATTTGTTTGATCTATATGCTTACCTGTGATTTCCCACATGTTTTGAATTTTATTGAATACAGATGTGGTCGAATAAAAGAAATTGGTCGTGTACGAGTAGGGGTTGCGGAGGAGGGCCTTTGGAGAAGCTTCCTCTTGAGCTTATTGGAGAGATATTGTCTCGTGTAAGAGTTGCAGGATTTGTCATTAGAGCTTCTCTAACTTGTAAGAAGTGGCGAGAGGCTTATCTCAAACACCTTCATACACTTTCCTTTGCTTCTCTCGATGATTATCGTGTCTATACGCAGCTTCCCACTAGTGAACTGGAAATGTTAATCACAAAGACCATACTTCAGTCACCCGGTTTGCGAACATTATGGATTAAAATGAATATGGAGCACGAGTTTTCGGCTGTTTCAGTTTTGGGTTGGTTGATGTTTGCCAGAGAAAATTTGTCCGAATTGTTCTATATGGTTAGAACTTCTCCCAGCATCAATGTTCTTAATGTATGTGGGAGGCGGAAATTGGAAACATTGAGTTTATGCCATTACACGATAAGAGGGGTTGAACTGAATTTCCAAAGGCTCCCCTCTTTGACATCACTTTCTCTACGTTGTGTCCGTTCTTCGGTAGAGGATCTAAACAGACTTCTTTTGTCTCTTCCCAAACTCGAGTCTTTAGTACTATGTTCACCCATCCTAGGAGATTCAGATGAGGTTGATTTGCCAGAAATTACAGTCAAATTGTGTGGTCTCACATTAAAGACCCTAATAATTGAGCTTCTTGATGGACGTGAGTTCCTTTTGGAGAAGTGTGATATTGGGTTTCTGCGTGTGTACGAATGTAATTTTGGTTCATTTCAGGTCACTGGCAGTAAAAGTTTGAGACACTTCAAATTTTCCTCTACTCACAGTCAACTTCTTGAAATTGAAGAGGGAGACAATCTAGAGATTTTAGAAATCATTGACAGTTGCATATCTCAGTCAAATCTGTTCCCAATGAAGATACAAGCACCAAAGTTGAAAACATTTCGAATTTGGGAGTTCGACAACAAACCGTCCATGTCTTTTGGAATAGCTGTTGGCGGGTCAAGGCTAGTTGTGGATTTAAAACAAGTTGCTGTTTGTTCGCCTCAACTTAGCCATCTTGCCCTATTTTGTCCTTACGCGCTTTGTGACATTGAGTACAATTTTGATGGTTCGTCTTCTTTGGGGAATGTGGGAGTCTTGGAGATGGCATGTTATGTTCTTGACGGCTTTTGGGAGTGGGCAGAGAAGGTGTTGACACATTGTCCAAATGTTAGGAAGTTGATTATCCGTATGATTATCGAAAAATACAAAAAATTATTGCCTCCTCCGCACTTTGCCACTGCCACCACAGCAAGGAATGAAAGGTTGAGGAAGTATCACTGTGTGGATTTAGCTAAGCGAACCTCATTGGTGGCTGAAATGATGAGAAAGTATCAACATCTACAAGTGGAGTTTTCCTATGTGTATCGGTGTGATTTTCAGGCATGAAGACTCTTGTGGGTTATATAACCAACCCTTCAAAGCTTAGACGTACCGTTGCAAACAACAATCTCAGTTTCCTTCATCTTGTTCAGGTATGAAGACTCGTGTGGGTTATAACAAATCCTTCTTGGGCATGGAGCTTCTATGCGACATTCTGAACAACTTTGAATCTCATTAAAAAAACTCTTGGTCTTTTATTGATGGGTGATTCACCAGTTCTAAGCTCTGTTTTCTACATCATATCGTTGAATAATTTTTAAGAGCATACTTTTTTTGTTGTTGTGCTTCCACATTTTATCCTAATTGCATTCAAATTTTATTACGAGTGCAATTTAATAAACAATACATGGGCGTGAGATGAGAGGTTACAAGTTCGAATCCGAGCAGGGGCGTTGAACCAGTTTTCCAAGGATTCACCTTTTCGACATCACTTGTCCTAAATTGTGTCCGTATTTCAGTAGAGGATCTTAAGTCATTATTTTTTGCTCTTCCCCCAAACTCGAGTGTTTGGAAATCCGTAAACCCAAAATATGCGATGTGGATGAGGTTAGTACGAAAGAAATAACACTCTAATTGCCTTTCCCTACATTAAACACTCCATCTTTATTTTTTCCACTTTCAACAAAATACTTCTACTTTTTATTTAAAAACTACTTTTATCTTTATATTTTCATAGTCTACCTTTTTTTACTAATACTTTATTCATCACATCTTAGTTTTACACTTTTACCCAACACATCAAGGGTAAAATTAGAAGTCAATTATAATTTAGTATTTTTTTTATTTTTACACTTGGTCAAATTAGGAACTCTTTTTTTAGAACGGAGGAAGCACATATTATTGATCTCATTGTATTGGAATTTATTCTCTAGACTTTTGAACATCTGCTCCTAAAACTCATTTCTTGTAAACCTTGTGCTCATTTGTTTTACCATATTTAGACTCGTGCGAGTATTGGTTAGACTTGGATCAAGTCTGAATTCGAGTCTAGGCGGCTGAAAATTTCATTTAACTTTAGATCCAAAACTCATATTATTCTCTTTTTGAGTATTTGTCTAGTTTTAATTTTTAACAACCAATCAAAATCAATGTTTGACCAGTAATTAAAAAAAATTATGGAGTACATGGTATACTCCATCCATCCCAAAAAAAGGCTCTTTGTTTTACTTGACAAAAAAATTTAAGAAACGTGAAAATGTGTATTTCAAAGTGATGCAAAGGAGAAAAAAAGATTGTGAGCCACTTAAAATTTTTCCGAAAATGAGAGATAAAGATTTTTTTGAGACGCCTCGAAGAGGAAAAACGAGCCTTTTTTTGGGACGGAGAGAGCATTAATTAGAAAAAGATAAAATAGTATTTAGAAATTTTTTTACTAAATAAGTGTAATAAAATTATTCTTATAAGGATATTTAATATAAATTTAATTTGATTTAATTAATGGAAATGATTGATTGAATTTGACTATAAAAAGTCAAACTAGATAAATAATCTAAAACGAAGATGATATTGAGATTACATTTGCACATGAAATAAATAATTATATTCTGCTTTTCTTATATCATCAAAGTTCTTAAATACTCCATCCGTGATCCGTCATAAAAAAATGCTACATTATGTAAAACGAAGTACAATCTCAAGCTTTTCAAATGATTTTATCTGAAGTTTAGTAGAAAAATAAAATTTAAAACACACATATTTAAAAAATACGTCAAAAGTTTTTACAAAATAAGAATTGACAAGAATACATTAATTTATCAAATAATCAATGAAAATATACAAATAAAAAAGGTGTTGGACTAAATTGCACCAGTACTCCCGTAGTTTGGAAAATAGGCATTAATACTCTGTTTTTAAAACTTATTTCTAAAGTCTTCGTTGTTTCAAAACATTGCACCTATACTACTTGTGATCATTTTTTGGCCATTTTTCTGGCAAAGAAGGGGGCATTAGTGCATATTTTCCAAGCTATAGGGTACTGGTGCTCATTTGTTTTATTTTTGGTTTATTTTTTATTTTTTCCCATTTTTGTTTCTTTTCTTAATCAAAGTTTTTAATTTTTTTTAATTTTTTTTAATAATGTTCTTAAAGTTTAAAACTATTTTTGTTTGAAATGTTTTAACATATACTGCATCTCTACGTTTTCTAACAATTTTTATTTTTTGTTTTCTAAAATAGAAAATTTAAAATTTGTTTTGAGAACTTTAAAAATGAGGAGTAAAATAAGAAATAAAATAAAACAAAAAATAAAAATGAATATCCTTATCGAACATTCAGATTCTAAGGACTTTTTTAGGCGTTTTGAAAATTCCTTTTGTATAAGATTCTTATTTTAGATGTTTCATTTTTTTCATTTCTTTTTTCCATACTTTTATTTTTTTATTTTTTATTTTCTTTTTAAACTTACCAAAAACATTATTATAGAAAACAAAAAATTAAAACATTTAATTTCACATAGATTTTTGTTTTTATTTCAAACACAAAGAATTTTAAATTTTAAAAAACATTATAAAAAATTTAAAATAAATTTAAAAAACTTTTCTAGGAAAGGAAGCAAAGAGAAAAAAATTTAAAGAAAGAAAAAAAGTAATGAGTGAAAAATAAGAAAGAAGTGTGTGTGCCGTCATGGTTTACAAAATAAGCTAGAAAATGACCGGAAAATGATCAGAGGGTGTGTGGATACAAGTTTTTGAAACCACGAGGACATTCGAAATAAGTTTCGGAAATAGATGGAGCACTGATACCAATTTTCCAAATCACAGTGGATACCGGAACTATTTGGCCAATGGCGTTGCCATATCTACTTTTATTTTGACTAAATTCACTTCATTTATGTTAAATTGACAAGTTAACCCTTAAAAAGAAAGATAAAAAAGTTAGATACAAGTCAACATTTGAGGGCAGCATTGTCTATCTCGGTAAAAGAAGTAGATTTAGGTCATTTAGCCAAAATAAGAGTACATTTGCAGGAAGACTTAAAAACATTTCATAATTTTTAGAGGTGTAGAAGTACACTAAAATGGAATATCCCATTTGTATACCAGGAAAACACAGAAAATAAGTTTTCACTAAGTATTGTTAAAAATAAAGATAATAGAAATATTGTTATGAATAAAATGATAGAGATATACCTTGATAAGAATACAAATGAAAGATCAAAGTGCAATGGAGAATGAAAAGAGAAAGAATGCAATGAGAGACTAAAGAGATGCATCTTCCATTTCAACATATGGAGCCTCTATATATAGGCTTACAAAGGGGAAAAACAAAGGACATGGAGAAGATCAAAAGACATTTGTACATAACACTCCCCCTTGGATTTTGGATGTTCACCATTTAGGTAGACTTGAGCTTAAGATACTGCCTCGTTAAAACTTTGTCAAGAAAAACCCAATCGGACAAAAACTTGGACGAAGGAAAAAGAGGTATAGTGCTTATAATGCTCCCCTGGACATGGCAAAAGTAGAGGTGGGTTCGGTTTTTGCGGTTCGGTTTTCACCCAAAACCAAAGACAAAATGGAAGGTAAATTGGCGGTTCGGTTCGGTTTTGCATAAAAAATATGTAAAGCGTTGGTTATTCGGTTCGGTTTTATACGGTTTTTATTTCGGTTTATTTCGGTTTTTCAGTTTATAAAAGTAAAAATTTATAAGCATTAAAAATTGTAAAAACACTAACTCGATTAAACAATAACAATATGTAGTGTTAGCTTTGGTTTTTTGTTTGATTTTTACACAAAAAAAACCAAACGGAAGGTTATTGTTCCTTTTGGTTTAATTTTACATAAAAAATATGTTTTGAGTTCCCCAACAAACATTTAGAAGATTCCAAATACTTCCAAAGAAATCGTATGTAAAATCAATTACGAAGAATTTAGCTTTTTTGGTATAATACTTTCGTTTTCATTATAACATCAAAGTATTTGTTATGTAAATATGTAAATTACTTGTGTCAATTTTTAATGTTAATATAATTCTATATTAGGATTAGCTATTGGTGTTTATATTCTTAGGTTTTTTCAAAGTTTATAATAATATGGCTAGAATGTTTAATTAATAGTTTAGAAAATAATTTTAATCGACTAGTAATTTATTTGCGTTTATATTTCTATAATTTTTTTACATAACACATGTATTCATATAAATAAAACGAAGTATCTAAGAAAGTTCGGTTTATTCAGTTCGGTTTTTAAAAGTGAAAACCAAAACGAAACCAAACACTAACGGTTCGGTTCGGTTTTTTTACATTCGGTTTCGGTTTTTTTTCTAACTCGTTTCGATCGATTTCGGTTCGGTTTGCAGTTTTCGGTTTTCCCAGCCCAGCCCTAAATCTAGGTATCAAAGTTGCAACCATCTCCGTTCTTGAAATCGTCTCATCATTGATCATCTTCCTAAATGTCGTGGTTGGCAATGCCTTTGTGAACAAATCCGTTAGGTTATTGCATGATTGTATATGACGAACCTCAATGTCTCCACTTTTCTGAAGCTTGTGAGGATAGAAGAATTTTGGTGATATGTGCTTTGTCTTGTCGCTTTTGATGTAGCCAATTTTAATTTGTGTAATACAAGCAGTATTATCTTCATAGAGTAATGATTAGAGGTGACAATCGGATCGGTTTCGAGTTGGATTTTTTCTGTTCGGATATCTTTCGATTATATGTTATAACCGGTTCGAATCGGTTAAATTTCGGTTCGGATTTGATTTCAGTTCTATACATTTTTCGGTTCGGTTCGGTTTCGAGTCGGTTCAGATACGGTTCGGTTATAAATTGGTTCGGATAGATTTCGGTTCGGATACAATTTGAGTCGGATATATTTCAGTTTCGGGTCTAGTTCGGTTCGGATATATTTCAGTTTCGGATCAAATATATTTTGGATATATATTATTTTCTAATTAAAATTTAACTATCCGTGTTTCTTTTTATGTTTTATCACATTTATCAATCTATCATCAATTCAATACCTCATTTTATTTGTTTTTGCGTTATCATTTATATGTATAACTTATCTTTAATTTCTACATATAATAATATTAATGCATAAAATTTTGTACTTTTTTTCAAGAAGATAATCCATTTTATGTGGAAATGAGCAAATAATGTAATTAGTTCAAATGGTAAAATAAAAGTAAAAATTTAAAAATATAATATGCTTATTGAAAGGCAAACATAGTTCTGAATTTATCGATTTTAGTTCTAATCGG